TGGCGTATGTGTTGTGATAGTCGATCTATCAACAAGATCACTATCAAATACCGGTACCCAATCCCACGTTTGGAGGACATGTTGGACGAGCTGCATGGCTCAAAAATCTTTTCAAAAGTTGATCTAAGGAGTGGCTACCATCAAATTCGCATCTTCGAAGGAGATGAGTGGAAAACAGCGTTCAAGACGAAGTTCGGGCTGTACGAATGGTTGGTCATGCCATTCGGATTAACCAATGCCCCGACTACATCCATGAGACTTATGAATCAAGTCTTGAAGCCATTCATAGGTCATTTTGTCGTCGTATACTTCGATGATATTCTAATTTATAGCAAGAGCGAAGAAGAGCATGTTAATCACCTCACTTTGGTGATTAAAAGGTTGGACGAAGAGAAGCTGTACAGGAACCTCGAGAAGAGCCAATTCTTCTCTTGAGAAACGGAGTTCTTGGGATACTTTATCTCAAGCGAGGGCATTAAGGTTGACGAGAAGAAAACTCAAGCCATTCGAGATTGGCCCATTCCCACCATTATGCAGCAAGTTAGAAGCTTTCATGGGCTTGCTTCCTTCTATCGGAGATTTGTGAAATATTTCAGTACCATAACCGCACCCATCACGGATTTGACTAAAAATCAGAAGTTTGAGTGGAATCCCAAGGCCCAACGAGCATTTGAGACGATCAAGGAACGATTAACACATGACCCCGTGCTAGCCCTTCCTAGCTTTGACAAACTATTCGAGGTGGAGTGTGATGCCTCGGGAGTTGGAATAGGGGCTGTCCTATCTCAAGAAGGGCACCCGGTGTCATTCTTTAGCGAAAAGCTAAATGATACGAGGAGGCGGTATTCCACCTACGACAAGGAGTTCTATGCTTTGGTGCGATCCCTTGAACATTGGCGCCATTACCTTATAAGCAAAGAGTTCATCCTACATTCCGATCATGAGGCCTTGAAATACACCCAAGGGCAACATAAACTCCGACCTCGTCATGCCAAATGGGTCGAGTGCATCCAAACCTTCACCTTCACCATCAAACACAAAACGGAAGCATGAACAAGGGCGCCGATGCCTTGTCTCGGAGACATTTATTACTAACGGTACTAAGTACCAAACTTGTTGGTTTTGAGTGTTTGCAGGAACTTTACAAGGAGGATGAAGACTTCAAGGACACTTATTCTAAGTGTTTATCTCGGCCCCATGGTGAATTTCTTATCAAAGATGGCTATCTTTTTCGTGGTAATCAACTATGCATCCCGAAGTGCAGCATTCGCGAAACCCTCATCGACGAAGTCCACGGAGGAGGCCTAGCTGGTCATTATGGAGTCGACAAGACTCACATGATGAGGAAGGAGCATTACCACTGGCCAAAGATGGAACAAGACGTCGAGCATTTTATCAAGCGTTGCAACACATGCCACCTAGCAAAGAGTCACTCACTGCCCCAAGGAAAGCACATGCCGCTACCCGTTCCTTGTGCACCATGGGAAGATATTAGCTTGGATTTCATCACCGGGCTACCGAGGACGCAACGGGGCAAAGATTCGATCATGGTTGTCGTGGACCAGTTCTCAAAAATGGCCCATTTCGTGCCATTTGTTACCACTTATGATGCTTCACAAGTTGCGGATATCTACTTTCGAGAGATAGTCAAACTCCATGGCGTTCCTCGAAGCATGGTATCGGACAGAGACACCAAATTCCTTAGTCATTTTGGGATGACTCTATGGAGAAAGTTGGGTACTAAACTCAAGTTTAGTACGTCTAGACACCCCCAAACCGATGGACAGACCGAGGTCAGTAACCGCACCCTCGGAACCCTCCTCCGAGCCCTCATAAAGAAAAATATCAAACAATGGGAGGAGCTACTACCACATGCAGAGTTCGCTTACAACCGAACCCCAAACAAGACTACCGGACTATCCCCCTTCACCATTGTCTACGGTTCAAATCCCTTGACCCCACTAGAGCTTGATCCTATCATAACAGATGCCAAATATAGTTGGGAAGCGGACAACAGATCGAAGGAAATTCAGGACCTTCACAACAAAGTTCGAGACAGAATTGAAGCCATGAATGAGAGAACCAGCGCGCGCATCAACAAAGGAAGGAAGAACGCCCACTTTCAACCAGGAGATCTCGTATGGATTCATCTTAGGAAAGAGCGTTTCCCAACGAAACGCAAGTCGAAGCTGTGATAATCGATTATTGAGGACTGCAGGAGTTTCCACTGATGTATGATAATCGATTGCCGAGGGTGATAATCGATTAACGATGCCTGCTGGTGTTTTGACAGAGGAATGATAATCGATTTTTAACAATGTTAATCGATTATTTTCAGATTTCTGGGAACGAAATGCTGGTGTTTGTGTGGGGGATGGCTGGGAAAATATGGAGATGATGAAGGAGTTCTTTTGGTATTTTTAATGTAAGGAAAGAAAAGAGATTAAGGATAGAAATGGTGGGAAAAGAAATGGATAGAAAATAATGATGGATAAACCAAGTTGGTGTTTAAGAGATATTACACACTCTTATCCTAACTTGGGGTTTGAATCTAGAATTTAATTAAGATATGACACACTTAATCAAATATCTAGAACCTAAAACTCACACTTAAGATAACCACTCTTAAGATATAGAATTAGGAATTTGGCTAAAATAGCATCACACTATTTTAATAATACTCAAAGAGTAAAAGATTTTAATATTCAAAAGGTTGTGTTACAATGGCC